CCCAAAACCTTGTCCTTATTCTCAGTCTTTCCCTTTCCATGTCTTGTTTTCTTCCTTTCTTTTCTTTATTTTCATTGCAAGCTGTCCATCTGCCACAACTCCCTACTGAAACCTTTCCAGTGGACTGGCTTTATATATTACCATACATCAAAACCCAAGACCAGGCTCAAAAACCCAGAGGTTGGTCTTAAAGAGGGAGCACCACGGACAAAATAATTCACATGTGAAAACACTTTGGTCTTCTTCTGACCCAAATTAGAGACATCATTGTATTATTAATTTGGTGGGTTTATACCCATTTTACAGAAGGGTAAAGTGATGCAGAGAAAGAATATGAAGACTCAACTGCTATTTCAAAATGGATTTAAACATGTGTTTGCTTAGTTCATTAATGCAGGTTCAAACTCCCTGTCAGGCCACCATCTGCCAGAAAAATGCAATGTTCTCATCTGGATGCAGACAGTTCCTCAGTAGCCAAACAGCCATCAATAGGTGCCTGTTCCATTCACCATTACAGGTATTGCACCACATTGTTAAAAAAGTATTTTTTCTGTGTTCGCCAGGATAGTTCACTCAGTGCTTGTAGTAGGTTCAAAACTGAAAACAAAGGTCCAAAAGGTATAAAAAAAGACTAGCAATTCACAGTACAAACCGTTTTAATTCTGCTCCTCTTACAGTCACTTCTCAGGAAAAAAATAATTAAATAACAATCTTCAATCTGTTTGTTGTTTCAGTTCATTTTAGGGTGACATAAACAGCTTTCAGTTCCTACATTCTGCACAAGCCTCCAGAAATATTCAGTGTTTACTAGAGTTCGGTGGTGTTAAATCAAGTATGACTATCACCCTTTAAGGCCTAAATGATAGAGCGATATCCATACCAATAACACATTTTGACAGTGTTGACACCTGCCTACATAGAAGCAGTTTACTGACTCTTATAGACCTGTAGAAAAAGGCACTAAAACTTATTAGCAATCCTAGTAATAACCTTTTATTTTCAAAAGTTGGTGTTTCCCTTCATGCCTCTTGAAGAACTCTGTGGCATATCTCAGTGTATCGCGTAAAAGACAAGTAGCTGGATGGAGAATTTCATTAAACTACTCTCTTCCATCATTTTCACTGTGTAACTGAAAATGGATAGGAAATTATACTAGCTAACTGAAACTAGAACAATCTTGAAATAAACTAAGCAACTGGTGAGAGCCAAGAAAAGCTTAATAGTTCTTTTTGAGCACCTGAAAACTTTCACAGAATTCAAACATAACCAAAACTTTGTGAAAGATGATTCTTTTTTGTCCCCTAATGGATCTAAAGAGCAGACTCATTGAATGATGTAGCACCTGCTGTTGTCAATCTTTTTGTTCTTGTGTCAGTTGAAGGAAAAAAAAAAGGAAAAAAGAAAAAAGAAAAGAACATTGCACTGCAGAGTAGAAAAATATGGTATGCCCCAGGTGAAAAACAAACTGTTTCCATTTACTTGATTAGCCCTTGCTTCTTTGTTTAGTACTCAGCTTGACAAGCAAGAACCCACCACCACCCTCCAATAAAAGTCAAATGCCATAGATTTGAGGAAATGTGAGAGCTGACCAAATCTTAGCACTTCACCTCACACAGGAGGGTTTCAGGTTTTCATGCTCCCTTCCAAACAGGTCTTTAATGGTGTGTTTTCACGGGAAGCAACAAGCTGCAGAGTTTGCCCGATGAGGGGAGCCCGGAGCAGCGGAGATGGACGGGAGCTGAATCTTCAGCACCACAGTCCCAGGGCGCTGACGAAGTTGTCCCTTCAGCACCACGGACTGCGGACATTGCTGGAGTTGTCCCTTCAGCACCACGGTCTGAGGACACTGTAGGATCTACCCCTTCAGCACCACGGACTGGGGACATTGCCGAAGTTGTCCCTTCAGTACCACGGACTGGGAGCACTGGTGGAGCTCTCCCTTCCGCACCACGGTCTGGGGACACTGCCGGAGTTGTCCCTTCGGCACCACCTCCGGGGACACTGTTGGACCTGTTCCTTCAGCACCAGCGCCCGAGGACACTGATAGAGCTGTCCCTTCACTCCCCACGCCCCGAGGGCGAAGAGGGACCTTCCCTTCAGCACCACGGTCCGGGGACACTGCCAGACCCGTCCCTTGGGCAGCAGCGCCCGCCCCGCCCCGCCCGCGGCCGCCCCGCAGCGCCGCTGCCCCGGCACCTGCCGAGAAGCACCGGCCTCTTCCCGGCTACCGAGGGCAGTGGGCTGATGGGCCACGGCCAGCCATAAACGCCTTTGATTAAATTAAAGCTACAGTAGTTGAAATCAGCACAGCAAAGAGGTAATTGCTTCAGACATGTTGCTAGCACGGCAGTATCACGGAGTACAATTAAGTTAGACATAAATTAGTCTGCGACCACATTCATACTGCTCGGCTTTGTGGTCCTCTGATTCCTGTCACTGTTTTCTCAGAAGAGAAGTTTTGTGGAGATAGAGGTACCCATCCAGATTAGGGAAGGCATTCAGTTTTAAAAATCAGCCCGTTAGTTAGACACACTTTTGCTAGAGTACCTACTGACTACAGCATGTTCCCCAATGCATACCCCACTGCATGCGCTCCTGAAAGTCTGTCTGAAAGGTTTTAGAGGGAGAAGGACATGTATGTAAGAGCATACACACAGATTTTAAAAAAGGAATCTTCACTAGCGATTAATACGGACATTTAAAATCACTCCCCAGTGCAAGAAACACAGATAAGAACTCTTATTTTCCTGAGAACTTAAAAAAATAAAGTAATTTTTTCCCCTCTGTGAGCCAAATTATTTTAGGATAATAAGAAATTAAAGAAAAATTCTCCATGCTCACTTTTATAGACTACCAGTAGATCAGATATCATCAGGAAGCCACTTTAGTACAGAAGAGATGGTACAAAAAATAGCAGTGCATTTGGCAAGATGCAGATAGCAACTATTAATAAACTTTTAAAAGACGGATCAGATATCCTCCAGGAGAAGAGTTTCCCAAATGAACAATTGTTACAGAATGTCTGTCTTTCTACACCGTTCTTTATTGTTACTCTTCCTCCCAGTGGTTCCCTGTTGCTATATGCACTTTTAAATTTAAACAATTCTGACATCCCAAAGTGCCTCTGCCTACAGAAATGCATGCTATTCTCTGTAAGCTGAGGTGCTCCGAGCTTCCTAAACAAATCCCAGCTCTTTGCAGGAGAAAATGCTAAAGCTTCCCAAGCAAGTTGTACTTGTTTCCAGGTAAAACATGATCAAAACATCAAACTACTGTACAAACAGCCCTTTCCACCTGTCACCAACTGAGCTTACAAACGCAGCAAGTGTTGCAGTCAGTCTTAGGCAGGAGTACAGGGCACCATGAGTACACAGGCGTGTGCATGGAAGACTTGTTGTAATCCAGAGGGGTATGACAGTCCAGTATTCACTTAGCAGAAATAAGTGACAAGAGACAGGTCAAGGATGAGAGACCCAGCGGTCAAAGGAGGAAAGAGAGTTCTGACATTGTAATGAACAGCGGGAAATACAAATCATCAGCCAAAGTTCCATTCTACTTTATATTCTATAACCTATAAATATTTGCTTTTTATATTAATATATCTAATAGCAGAAAGGAAGAGGAAATTATTCCTTAAAAATTCTTATCTTTGTAAGGGCAAATAGGTTTTACACTGTCAGATGATCTTTCAAAGGAAATTTTTTTACTGCTCCAGGTATAATACAGTCAAATACAAAAGTAAGTAGGTACTTGTCAAAGGGCAGTGGACATCATGTTCGCAGAAAACTCATCATCTTCAGGTGGCAGTGTAAAAATTTCTTGTAACAAACCCTAAATAGTAAGAAGACCAAGTCGTTCTGTATTAATAAGAGCTACTTTCCTGTCCTGTTCTGTAAAATGCACTATTAAACAGCCACTGAGCTAGAAGGGTCTTTTCAGATCTCCCCAGTTGTTAGGGGGCTAGAAGTTCTGGGAGAAGAACATTACAAACAGTCTCAATAAACTCACCTTAAAGAATACAAAACCAGGGAAGAAAATCTGCCTATCCAGCCAAAGCTGGAGTTGTAACACAGTTCTGTGTGCACATTGCAGCCTCTAGTCTTCGTGGTGTTTATTTTCATGGCAGGGAAGCAAACTTTGTGTGAAATGCTCAGCTTTAGCTGCAGGAAGCAGGGAAGTACAAAATGACAGCCCATGGCTGTGTCCACTGACTGCCCCTTGACTGTCCTGGGAAATGGTACATCTGGGAATCTGGGCATCACAGATGTGACAGCAGGCAACATTTTGCCTTTCACACCATGTGCCCACAAAGGGTAGATGCAGACTATGACCTGTTGACACATCAGACACTCCAGCTGCAATAAAAACTTCAGGAACACATTGGGAATGCCCAGGAAAGGCCCAGCAATGGGACAACAGCTGTGGGAACCGCCACCGCAGCCCTCGCCAACACCAAAACAAAGTTTGCTAAAGCAGGGCTACGCTTGGCTACATCAAGGTCTCTCCCAGCTGATCTAGTTCCCATGTCCTCTTTATTTTCATTCTCATCCAGCTGCCTTTTGCCCAAGTTTTCCCCATGTCTCTTAAGCAAAGGTGCAAGAAGGAGTGCGGCAACAGGGCCTTCTTCCTGAGGGGAACCCCAGCAGAGTGTCACCCTGCCTCTTCCCCCACTCTTCCTCGCCGCCCAAGCCAGAGTTCCATGGTAGCCACCTGGCCACTGCCAATTCCCCTTGCCAGAGCAGCCCCACTCCTCCCCAGTGCCACCCAGGAGATGAAGGATCCATCTCCAGGGGAAGAGGTGCGGGACACCGCCAAGTCCAACAAGTGCCCAAGAAGAGCAATGAATTACATAATAGAGGAGGGAAGAAAGAAATTCATCCAGCACTGCCACCTTTGCATGTAACAGCCTCCTTGCCCCTCTCCCTTTCTCCCAACCCGGGGAGCATTTGCCCCAGCCCCGGTCGTGGCCCCATAGGGCCTCCCCGAGTGGAGACACTCACCGATGGTCGTGATGACCGTGATGGCAAAGTAGAAGGAGCCGGCGAATTTCCACTGGACTCCGGCTCGGTGCGGCTCGGACTGCATGATCACCAACTCCAGCTGCCGGTAGTCCTCGCTGGTGATGTTGTACTTTCCTTTGAGCCGGATCTCCTCGGCTTTGAGTTTCTCCTCCTCCCGCATCTCGTTGTCGGACTCCAGGGCATCAAAGACGGCAGCCCCGACCAGCAGGTAGGTGAACGTGCAGATGATAAGGGACAGGGTCCGCACGTTCTGCCTCTTCATGGCCGCCAGCAAGGGGCGAGTGAGGGGACCATGTCCCCCCCTGGCCGCCCGGGGATCCGACAGGCCGCAGCAGCCACAGCAGGGGAGCAGCCGCCGGGGGGGCTGGCGGCGCCCGCCGCCGCCGCCGCTGCCGCTGCTCCGGGGCAGCTTGTGCTGCGGCGGCGGCCGCTCTCCGCCCGCCTGCTCGGACTCCTGCGAGGAAGAGAGGCACAGGAGGCTGCTGGAGCGCCGGGACCAGGTGCCCTGAAGCCGGGAAACTCTGCGCAGGACCTGCCCAAACCAAGCCGTCCCAGTGCGCAGGGCCATCCAGGGCACCCCCGCTCCTCCCCAGCACCGAGGCCAGGGGCAGGGGGTCCCCGCCGAGGGGCCGGCGGCCCCGGCACGGAGTCCTGCGGCGGGCTGGTCCCCCCGCGAAGTTGTCGCGGCGGCGCGGGGAAGGGTCGCCCGCAGCCCGGGCGGGGCGCGGCGGGGAGGCGGAGGCCGCCGCCGTCCCAAGTTTCTTCAGGCGGAGCGGCGGGGCCGGGGGGGGCCGGGCGGCGGCAGCGCGCCCATCCGCGGAGGAGGAGCGGGGAGAGGGGCGGCGGGCGGCGGGCTCCGACCGTCGGGGACCCGACCCGACCCGGCCCCCGGCTGCCTGCGGGAGCGCCGGCCGGGCGGGTCGGGACGGGCTGGGCGCTCTCTATTCTTTCCGCCGCGGTGCGCGGCGGGCGGCGGGGAGCCGGGCGGCTGCTGCTGCTGCTTTTGCTGCTGCTTCTGCTGCTGCTGCTGCTACTGCTGCAGGTGGCCGCGGCGTGGGCAGCGGAGCGGCGTCCGGCGCGGCGAGGGCGGCGGCGGCGGCGGTGTCAGGCGGCGGGCGCGGGGCCGGGGGCAGCATCCCCGGGCGCGCCGGGCCGCGCCGCCGCTCCGGCGGGAGGCGGGGGCGCCGGGCCGGCGGCGTGGCCCTGGCGGCGGGAGCCGGCGCCCCGCGGGCGGGAGGAGCGGCGCGGAGCCGCCCCGGCCGGCGGGAGGGCGGGGGAGGCGCCGGCGGCGGCCGCGAAACGAGCACCTGCCCCGGGGCAGCGGCGGGGCGGGACGGCGGCGGAGGGCGCTGGCTCCGGCCGTAGGGCTGCCGGGCGGGAGCGGAGAAACGCCGGCGGCTACCCCCGGGGAGCGCGGGAGGGCAGCTCGGCCCCAGGCGGACACAAAGAGACGAGAATAAAGATTAAAAAAAAAAAAAAAAAAGAAAGAGAAAAAAAAAAGGAGAAAAAGGAAAAGAGGGTAAAAAAGGGAACGGGAAAATAAAAGGGTACTTTCACGGCTGCTCCCCCGGCGCTCTGGGCGGGGGCTGCTTTATTTAGGATGGTTTTTAGAACAAAGCCGTTAAGAAAAAGAGCAACCGTCCTCCTCCTCCTCCTTCTCCCGGGCTCTTGACATCATCTCGGGGAGAAGCGAGCCCGCGCCCCGCAGCCATCGCCTGCGCGTGTGTGTGTGAGAGAGCGTGTGTGTGTGTGCGGGCGTGTGCGTGTGTGTGTGTGAGTGTGTGCGTGTGCCCGTGCCCGCTCCGCCGCGAGAGGCGGGATGCGGGATGCGGAGCCCGCCCCGGCCCGCGGCGGGGAGTGCGTTAACCCCCTCGGTGCCGCCCCGGTCGGGAGCGGCCGCGGAGCACCCCTCGCTCCCTCCCGCCTCCCGGGCCCGGCCACGCCCCTGTTCCCGCAGGGACAGCCCGGAGCGGGGCGGGCTCGTGCCGTTCCCGCAGGGACAGCCCGGAGCCCCTCCCGCTCTCCAGCCGAGCAGCGGGTAGCGGCCGGGACAGGTTTGTGCCCGCCTCCCCCGTGGCCTCACGCACCGCAGCTCCACGCACCACCGCCCCTCCACAGAGTGACACGTACAGCCCCACACACCACCGACAGGCACACACGCAGAGCTTCACACCCTGAGCTTCACACACCATTGCCTTCTTCTCCAGCATTGCACGCCACCGACCACATACACATATGAACAGCTCTACCCACCCTGAGCATCACATACCGTGGCCCCCATGCACACACCTGTACAGCCCTACAGACACCCGTACAGCCCTACACACACCCGTATAGCCCTACACCTGAGCACTGCACGTCACCAACCACACACACACACAACCCTACACACCCCGAGCATCACACCCCACAATCACACACACTGCAGCCACTCACCGCACCTTATCCTGACACTGCACGCATACAGAGCTCCACACACCTCAGTTCCACTCAGGCAGCCCCTCCACACACACACGGACCTCCACACACCACAGCCACACACCCCACAACCACACACCACAGCCACACACACCCCAACTTGCTCAGATCCTCAGCCAAATGCACCACAGCACCACACACCAAAACATGCCCACACTACAGCCCTCCACGCACCACCTCCACACCACACAGCTGCTTCCCTAGCCTCAGCATAGTCCCCCAAGCACAGAGATGTGCATAGACACATGGCGCAGGGATGGAACTGGGTGATCTTTAAGGTTCTTTCCAACCCAAACCATTATGTGGTTCTATGATCATGACATACAACACACATACACGCAGCAAAATGTTCCCAATGGCTCAGAGGAGACAGCCCAGTCTCACAGAGTCCATCCCCAGCCCCAAAGCTCCTGAGCCACCACCCCGGGATGATGCAATCCCTCAGGGACTCTAGTCCACGTCCTATCTCTCCCTTCACCATCAGGTTTCCAGCAGCAGGTGTTACCACAGGAGCTTGGGGCTGCTTTCATGTCCTGAGACAAGGCTGCCCCTCCTGATGTTGCCTTGCCCTTGGGAACTGTAGGCGTCCTCCTCAGTTAGGGCTGGGATTTTCAGCCTTACTCAGTGAGGGCTGAGCTGGTCCTGACTTCTCTGAGCCTCAGATGATATTCCCTTGTTTTAGGTCTCTCTCAAATCCTAGGCCCCGGGGGCTAATTACCGTAACCTTCTATCCCTAAAAGCAACTCTGTCTCACTCTGGATTAGACCTTGTCTAGCGCCTTTGGATACACCTCCTTAAATATGAGGGGGCAGATGGATCAGATCAGAAGTCAGTTGCCAAGAATGAAGCCCTTTGAAAGATGCATCCCAAGATAAGCAGACAAAACTGGTCATAAAGCCCTTTCTGAAACTCCTGATGCAGGGAGGAGGAAGAATTCATTTCATCAATTCAGCAAATGAGTTAACTCAGGTCAAATTCTGCATCACGTCACCTGAGCGTTACTACAATTGTTACAGCACCACATGCAGCAACAAAGTCTCACCTGCCGAAAGAAGCAACAGGGGGAGGGAGGGGAAAGGAGGAGAAAAGAGGAAATATCTGGTTTCGATCAACTCCTTAAAAATAGAAGTCTGATTACCATTGCCCATTTCTGATTCCCCAAGGGAGAGCAGGAGAAGAGGAATCTATAAATAGTTTGCAACACAGAGAATCCTATAGCAAAGTTGCTGGGAAAGATCAATAGCATGATTCAAGGAGGGCTCCAAATTACATCTCAGGGGAGGGAGGTGCTGAACAGAATTGATAAATGAGTTGCAAATGCTGTGTGTGTTGTGTGTATCTAATTAACAGAGGGTGACTGGGATCAATAGCAAGGAAGGAGATGGTCTAAAAATAGCACTCAGGAAGGGACTGCAACCTGCGGGCAACAGCTTGGATGGAAATGTCCCCTGGAGTAATTAACCTTTCGCTGGAAAGTGGTGGTTACTGTGGGGTCAAAGTGAGACCTGTGCACAGCTGGGAAGGGATGAGGTCTCCATGGGACTTAGGGCACAGAGTAGTGTGACAGTCGGGGGGGGGGGGGGTACAGACACAACCATGAGCTTGCAGCCTTCCTCTGATCAGGTGGCAGTGACAACCTGCTATTTGGTGTAGTGCTTTCTAGAGAAATATCTGAATATTAACATTTTGTTGGGGTTGAGGAATAGGAAATATTTGCCATTCTGTGTACTCATAAAGGTTTTGACATTGCTTAGAGAAAAGTAACAGTTATTTTTTTAAACATCTATTTACATCCATAAGAGTCTGGGATTTTGTTCTTTTTTTGCTGACCCCATTGCCAAGAAAGTATCCACTATTCTGAGGATTTACATGGAGGATTCTGAGCCTTTGCTCATCCAGACTCACCAGCCAATATATATTTGAACCACAGAGCAACTAACTTCCAAAGAGAAGTGCCCTTCCATCCTTCAATCTACAACAGAGACGTCAGGTTAACACCAGGGAGAAGGACTGACGTTGGGCAGGATGATCTATGGCTCAGCTCACAGGCTCCACTGAAGTGCCAGGCTGAGCTGGCATCACCCGAGTGAGAGGCAGAGACACACACACATCCAGGAACAGAAAGTTCATTTTCAGCCTGAGTATAGGATTTGGACCTGGGGTGTATAGCATGACTGAAAGAAAAGGAAACTGTAAAGATGAAGAATCTAGAAAATTTCTCTTTGTAAAGCTGGCAGGAAAGCATTGAAGGCGTAAGTAGTGAGTGAAGAGCTTTTCTCTCTTTAATATACATAGAAGTGACTAAAAATTCCTGGACAAAAGGTTTCTCCATAAGATTAAATAAAAGTCTTTTATCCAGTTATAGATGAAGCTACCAACAAACCATGGTTAGTCACCTAAACGAAAGTAAACTCAAAGTACCAACACATAACTTAGCTCCTCTAGGTTTGGTCTGGCTTGAGGGAGAGAGCACAGGCTGGAAGATAGGTGTGCAGTGGGTGCCCTGGCTGCTGACAGCTGTGCTAATCCAGTTTTGCACCTACTCTCTCCGCAAAAAGCCAGTGGAAATTTGAAATCTTCCACATTCAAGGTAAGATTGTGTGGGTGCTGTTATGTCACAGCAGCTCTCCTGTCTCACCTTGAGTTCACTCTGCAATGAAGGCAAGAGCTAAGAGCAAGGCAGCTGCACTCTGAGTTGCTTCTGTGGACCTCTGCAGTCCCTCCTGTGGACCTGTCAGTGATTCTCCTTGAGCAATCTAATGTCTCTCTCTGTGCAAGAAGGGGCTGAGAGCTGCCAATCCATGAACCATCTTCCATATGAACCACAAGAGTCACAACAAACCAGAAAAGGAAAAAAAACCCCAAACCAGAAAAATAACTGAAAAATATGATCAAAACTAGAAAGAAGAAGAGATAACCTGGTTATTCTTCTACATAGGTTATCAATGAACCATTTTATTTCTCTGGAAATGGTGGCACAGAGATGACCAGAACAGCAGTTCCGCTTCAGGACAAGGTTTATTGACCCCTGAAGTCCTTTATGGTACAGCAGAGGCTGTACCAGGCACAAGGGAGAAATGCAAACAGAACAAGTATGTGTGGTTCTTTTTCATTCCTTAACTATTCTCCCAGTCTCAAACTATTTTAAATCGTGTTTTTCTAAGTTCTCAGTAAGTTGCTTTCTTTGGTGACCCATGATGGATCTTTCTCCCAAGCACTTTTCCTCTCTCTTCCTGAACCCAGCTAAATTTTTTTGCATCCTCAGCAAAAATTCAAGCCAAGGCTGGGTTGGATGGGGCTGTGAGCAACCTGGTCTAGTTGAAGATTTCCCTGCCTATCCCAGGGGCATTGGAATAAGATGATCTTTAAGGTCCCCTTCCAACCCAAACCATTCTATGATTCTATGAAAAATTCTCATCCTCTCCAAAGAAGGGGTTCAGTGGACACAGAGAAGGAAGAGCATTCCCTTTTATCTGTTTAGATCAGGCTTCCTTCAGTGGTCCCTAGGCCCTGTGTTGGAAGAGAGAACACACTGTGCAATTACTCCATGCCA